TTACAAACAAGTAAATTTATTTAAATAATTGCCAATATGATTGTAATAATTAATAATTAAAAGATCCAAAATGGATGATGGCAGATAGGGATGGGCAGATCAGTACTATATGTATATTGCATATAGTTCTAGAACTATATACCTATGTAAACATGATAAGTTGGTCACTCCAAAAAGTTTCGCCTCTTTTTTTTACTATGGTGCACCAACTCTTAACTTGATGATCACGTGACATGTTTCAATTTTCTTTATGCAGTGTAACATAATATTATTCAACAAAATTCAAGTATTTTAATATAAAAAGGACTATTCTTCTAAGAAATAAAGATAACTTGTATTTTTACAATAATCAAAGTACCTGTTTGTAGAAAATACATTTTTGTTTTATCTTTGAAAAATAATTCATACAATTGTACTATGGTGCAAATCACTTAGTCACTGAACTTTTTGTGCCATGATGCCAATTTTGAGAAAAAATATTCCAATCAAAAATGCAGTAAAAAAATTTAGTTGCGTGATTTTTGAAGATTGCAAACCAACTTAATTTTAATGTCAACATGATGCTAAAATAGATAAATTTTTGATCTTGCGTAGCATGACATGCATGATTGCATAATACATAAAAAAGCAATGTATTCTCAGTTGTAAAATTTCATTATTATTATTATCACGTGATATAGATTGGCCATAAAAAATTTAAAAATTTCAATTCTTCCAATTCATTCATTTTTAATATAATTTTTCTTTCATGTAACACACCATCTGGGGGGTTAACATAGTAAATTCGTGAACTTTGATGCATCGTTCTTCTATGGTAACATTACATATCAATGAAATGAAATCATTGGATTGTAGAGAAAGGTCTTAGCTTTAATTCTATGATTTGTTTTTTTTGGTCATACATTTCCATTTTTGGAGGAGATCAAGGATCTACACAGCCAATAAAAAGTTCAGCAACTAAGTGACTTGCACTATAGCTTAATTTTTATATAAAATGCCTCATCCTAGTGATTGTAAACAACAAGTGACAACTAGACACCAAAATAAAAATGGTTGTTTTTCTGAACTTCAAGAGCAACAACTGGAATTAATAGAGAATGATGATGGTCAAATCCAAGAAGTTTAGAAGAAAGTAAACAATGGTCAGTAGAAGATTTATAGGAATTTCAAGACTAAAGCTCCTCACGAGCTGGCTTGCAAGCCAAAAAACTTATTCAGCTTGCGAGCCTACTAAGTTATTTGGCTTGTGAGCTGGCTCATGCAGAGCCTTATTCAAGACATTGAAAAAAGGCTGGAGTTAGTATGGAAGAAAGATGCATTAAAAAATAAGAGAGTTTACTATAATTCTACATCAAGAACCACTCAATAGTGTAGATGTAAAGCAATAGAAGAATTAAAAGAACATGCAAAGTCAATTGAAAAAATTGATACTTTTTTTCAACCATCAATATCTACATCTGCACCTACACTTTCATCCTCATCCATGTGGTCAATATCACCATTAACATCCTTACTTTTGTCAAATTCTTCTGCTTCATCATTATTCTTCTCTGACTTGCAAGCATGTTTAGAGGATTTGAATGATCATTGCAAAATCTCTAAATCAAACAATTCTTATGGTGCTTACAAACATATACAACTTTTGAGTTTAAGCCAGTATTATCAATTATGTTAAATGGAATGGGGAAAATAGATGCAAGTTTGCAGGTTGCAAAAATTTTTTGGAGAAAAGGAACTACATGTCACATTGTATTAGAGCTTGGGGAAATTATTTTTTTCATAATGGCAAGCTTCCTGACCATCAACCAGATAATCTTAATGAATTTTTGGAAATTGAAACAATTTAAAATTATTGCACGTGACATAAGTTACATTGAATACTAAATTTGGAATGATTGCCACCCACGATATGTTTCAATTTTTGGCAGAACTTATAAAAATACTTCAACTTTGAAACCTTTCAACTCAACATAGAATCATTTTTTTGGCAAACCAACCAGTAATTTTGTAGTAATTATTGCAATGAACATATTTACTGGTATATTTTTAAAAAAAGGTCTCTATGCTGAGTTGAAAGGTTTCAAAGTCAGGTGATTTTATTGCCAGGTTAAGAGTTGGTGCACCATATTTAAAAAAATTCGATAAGTCAGTTGATCTATGTAAAACTGTGATAAGTGCTAAGTTGGTCAATCACTTAGCCCAAATGAATCACAATAAGTCGGTCTCACATGATGTTTCATGTGAAGGGTCATCATTACTATTTTAGTAATTGTAATTTAATAATTTTAATATTTCGTCACTAGCAAAATGATTATTATTATATGTAATAAAATATCTGATGTAAGAGAACTTTTTTCACTTTAATCATTTGATGATTTACCACAAATAATGCATTAATATTTTATTATCTCAGCAGTTGTATCTTCAATTGTATCATTCATTTATCATAAAATAATTGTGGTGTTCCATGGCTGTTGATCATCAAACATATGTTACATCAGGACCCCGAACAATCTTAGGAGATGGTACATTTGAAAAAATACCCACTTTATTACCATTTTTGGAAATAATTTACAAGATCATCACAAAATTTATCCTAATTAAGAAATGATATTCGATTTTGAGGGTCATTTCTACCCAAAATTGAAATGTACCATCATCTCCTAAGATTGTTCGGGGTCCTAATTTTTGTTTTTGTGTCAATTTTCCCTCGTTTTTTACTCATTTATTCGCGGATTCTTTAATAGAATGAATGACCTGAAAAAAATTAGTAGTATATAATAATAAATATTTTTCATGTAATACAAAATACATTTATAAAGTTTTTGCTTCATTCGTGTGACAAATATAATACTTTCATGTTTCAAATTAACTATATCATTATAAAATGCCATATCCACTACTGCAAGGCAAAGGAAAATTTGATTCAAATAAATTAACCGGTGAATTAAATAAAAGAGATGGTGATGAATTTGAATTAGTTGGATTAAATAATTCATTAAGTGAGTTACTTGAAACATTAAAAACAATAGATAATTGCATTGATTGTAAAACAAGGTCGTTAAATGATAATGAAATTATAACATCACTTAATGAATTACTTGATGTATTAAAAAAGCTTTTACAAATAAATATTAAAAAAAAGGTAATCAACAAATTAACTGGAGAAACATTTGAATTAGATAATCAATTAAATAGCAACTTATGTAATACCTGTCAAGAAAAAAAAATAGAGAAATTAATTGACAAATGTCAAAATGAAGAAATGGCTAGGTTTCTTTATCAGTATAGGGCAGATCCAAAAACTATTAAATGGGTCCCGTTTAATGAATTTAAAGATAGGAGTTATTTAGCTCGAGGTGGATTTAGTGAGATTTATAAAGCAACTTGGGTTAATTATTTTGAGCCAGTCAATAAGGAATTTGGGAGAAAAATGAAAAATATTGTGTTAAAACGGTTAAACAATTCTGAAAATATATCAGATATATTCAATGAGGTAAAAATTTCACTTTTTATAAATATCACTAATTAATTTTTATTTATTCGTAATAAATATTATTTGCAAACTTTTAGCTGAGCGCAAATGATAAATTTTATTTTTCCGTTAACAAATGTTTTGGAATTACCAAAGATCCAGGCGAAGATAATTACATGTTGGTATTTGAGCATGCTCCAAATGGAGATTTAGATAATCATTTGTCAAAAAGTTTCAAAGAAATTACTTGGAAAGATAAAATTGCTTCACTTTTTTGGATTTCATTAGGGTAATTTTTAAATTATTATTGCTAAAAATTATGATTTTTCTAATATAGATATAAATAAATAAGCAATTAATTATTTATTTATTTGCTTATCTATTTATTATTAATATAAATTAGATTAAAAAACATTCATGACAATAATTACATTCATCATGACATACATGGTAGAAATATTTTCTCGTATGATAATGATATGTGTGTTATAGGAGATTTAGGGTCATGTCAACACAAAGAAGTAAGTCCAAATAAAATTTTTGGAGTCATAAGATACTCGGCACCTGAAGTATTATCAAATAGAACACACACACAAAAGTCAGATATTTATAGTTTTGGTATGATAATGTGGCAATTCACTACAGGCAAGAAACCATTCTATGATAGGTCATATAATAATCATTTTGAACTTATTCCGGATATTTTAGAAGGAAAACTGCCTGAAATTACTAACGATACACCTCAGTTTTATGCTATTTTGATGAAGGAGTGTTGGGATCCCAACCCAGAAAATCGACCTGACTTTGGCAAAATTCATGAAGATTTTAAGAAGTATTTTTATTGCAATGAACTTTCTAGAGAAGAAAGAGAAGTTGAGGTGGCAGAAAATAAACGTTTGGCGTTTATCACTTCAGAAAAATTTTTGTCTAATGAAAAAAGTTATAAACCAAACCGTTCACCAGCATCATCTAACTCAAATGAACGAGATAGTAAAGTTGATGGCTTAATTTATGAATTTAGTATTTAATAGGCGATGTTGGTGGTTGGTGGTGGTCTGGCTGATAAGAAAAACCATTAGAAAGATTACTATTTATAATTTATTTTATTTATCTTTTTTTATGAACATGCATATTTTAAAATTTATAAAAAACTTGAAAATGTAATTGATAATGAGTACTTCCAGCACACTACCAATTAAGTTATAATATTTTTCATAAGGAATTCCTCCTTCGTGCATGCTTCAAGTCTGAAGAATTTTTGGATGTCTTTCCCATTTTTAGGCTGAGATCTGGACCAATCATGTAATATTCTCACCACACACTAGTGGTGCGATCCGTGGGTATCCGTTTATCCTCTATTTAATCCAAAAAATACATCCAAAGATTGAACGGGTGATCCAACGAAATACATCTAAATTCGTCCAGAATTGGAGGATATGAATTTTGATCTCCAAGTTGTCTTGTATTGATGGATACACTATACTAAGTATTTCCGCCAAGGCATGTAGTTGCTTCAAATAACTCCTCAAAAGTTTCCATTAGTATCATATTCAAATTCCATAAAACTTGCTAGCAACAAAATAAATTCTTTAATTTTTATAAATCTCATCCAAGCAAGGTAGATAGAGTCCCACCAAGTAGGAACATCTGCGATACAATGAATACAACGAATAAAATATAAAATTATTTTAATTAGACAATAAAAAATTTACCACATTAAAAATGCCGATTTATTTGTATTTGAATATTGATCAAGTATTCACTCTGCCTAGGATGAAGAAAACAATCTATCAATCTTATTGTTCTTTTACCTAAAAGTTTTATTATTGATAAAATTTCATCTACCACCAATTGAAGAACAGGGTCGTCAAGAATATTATGATCTTTGTTAATATTAGAACCATTGTCAATAGTAATGATATGAGCTATATCACGAATACCCTACTAATATAATATTGTTAACAATATGTCCCGCAATACGTGGATATCTGATATAATCAAAAGCAAGTACTCATTCTAAGTAGCTACAAGTGACGCCAAGAAACCTCCGTCTATTACAGCCAGTCCGCACATAAGTAGCTAAACTAGCTGATCCCTTGGATATCTTTGATAATTAGTGGAAATGTATGATTATAAGATTCATGAATTAATTATTTTAAAAATTAGACATCAGGAATGGAAAAGTGAATTAATGGATGTTTTAAAATCATATTTATCTACATTTAAAGATTTATTATCAAAAATAATTAATAATCGTTGTTATTTGTTACGATCACGAGTATTAGTAATCATAGAATTGATAGTATTTTGAACCTAAATGCAAAAGTTTACTATTAATCTTATTCATCTTAAATAACTATCATTTTTTGATCAAGAGCAATTAAATTCCACCTACTATGTAACGTTTTTTACAAACTTTTTCTGGAGTAATCAACGAAGTTACTTCTTCGAACCAATTCCATCCCCGACTTTTTTAAAGACCTATTTAGTGCGTTTTTTTAGGAATTACATCTAATACTTCATCCTATTTTTCTTGTTCTGAATTTATATAAGTAGGTTCACTTTCACTTTCATTACAATTATCCATTATAAGTAACAATATAAAATAAGTGAAGTATCAATTGCAAATAGACAATGATGATAGTGACTTTGGTGATTGAAAAGAAAAGATAATGAATTAGACGACGACAACGACGACAATGATGATGATGGTAATAAGATTGATTATTCAAGAAAAAAATATGACCGAGTTTCTTCATGAATATCTGAATTTATCCACGGATTGCTTCACCGGCTCATGCTAATGCTAATTGATATTAATTATACTAATATGTTAATATTTTTCGTTCAAGTTCCAACCGGTCAGCATAAAATTCTGGTTGGCTAATTGATTTAAAAATGATAAAAGGCCGATCGTGATTTTTTGTTTTTGAGTAATTAATTTAAATAGATTTGGTCTAAGGTATAATTATATCTGTATGATAATATAAGGTATTCTGTGGTTGGATTAATATATAAAGATTATTACATTCATGTATTATTAATTGAAAAGTTGGAGCATCAAGAAAACTATATATATAGTAACAAATATTTTACGTGTAATTGCATATCTTCTTTTTATTTACAATTTTACAATGTGTGTTACTTGTTTTCTGAATGCAATATAAATAAATTTGTTGCGTGATGTGAAATACTTACTCATTGTATGGTTAAGCCAAATACAATTTCCGATTTAAATGTTAGCTTCGCCCACCATTGATGTTTCCCAATCGAAGGATAAAACATTCTTAGACAAGCCAGTCAAATTTTTGTTGAGTGACCCAAAAACATTGCCAATAATTGAATATTTAAAAGAGAACCGAACAAATATTTGCTAGATCTAGTAAAAATATTGTGACACGCTCCAACCAACGCGTGCTTAATGTCGTGCCCAAACCATAATGAATGTGACGTGGCACGCCCAATTCCGTGCCTCAGTTGGTACATGGCTCTTCCGTGAATTCCTGCCCTTCTTCCATAGTGTCGCCAAGCAAATAATCAGTTGCCAGTCTAAATTACTTGTGGGGACAAACATGCATTATCAGTACCGCCTTACTGAACAGCATTCTGCAGAATCGGGGTGGAGACTGTAATAATAAGTGGAAGCTTTATGCCACCTTGCAAGCTCACTCTTATATATGATTGAAGCCAACCGAGAGGCCTATACAAGGGTCCCATCTGATGAACTACCACGGACACCCCACTAAGTGAGATGCCATAGGCAGTCTTGAGCACAGTCAAGAAAAAAAAAAGAAATGGATTGATTATTTATATGTATAAAAATCTGTAATACATGATTTTTCAAACAAACAATTCTTTGTCCAATAATATTCAATTGTTTTTTTTTGGCGTTTTTGTTTTTTATAATTGATCTACAACAACACAATGGATAGTTACCACATAGGGTAACTCCGCTCTTTTCAATAATAGAAACAAGGAAATTTAAAATTAGAATATACGAATTAATCTACATAAGTCCAAGTCGCTCCAAACGAATACCATTTATGGTAAAACAATCAATTAATCGTTAAAGATCTACCATGGAATTCAGGAATTATAGCACTATCAATCTCATTTGCATAAACCTCATAAGGTTTAATCCAGAGAAATGGGTCAAGACCCCAGGAAAAAGAAGAATGGACCTCGTGAGGGGTATTTACCACCAGATAATATTAATATTCTAGTTCATCTGATTCAAAACCATTTGTCAAAGTGCCTTTGCCTTATTTTCCCAATTTTTATGTTTTCTTTTTGCTTTCCGTGCTTAACTTTACTTTTGGGATATTTGAGTCCAAATAAAAAACAAACAAACCTCGTTATTTGATATCACATATTTATGTTCAACAAATTTAGTCTTTGTTAAATAGATCATGCATGATGCTGCTTTACCAAAATAAATATTTGAATAAAAAATATCAATTGTAACGTAGCTGAGGAAGAAAGTTCTACCATTTTAATCGATTATTAGTTTTTTATATAATGAATTTATTTGGTAATTCAAACTAAACCATTTATCTCATTTAAAAAATTATTTTATAAATTATAAAGGATGTTGAACGTCAATGTGAATCTGTTAATAAAAAACTAATTCGCCAACATTGGATTGGAATTCCACCGAGATTTTTTAACAGCATTGAATATTCTGTCTATTATAACCTTCCAAATTCGGCTTTTTTCTTCAAAAAAGATTGCAGCAACATTTTTTATTAAAATAATTGATAATACAAGGAATAGGAAATCATACAAGTCCGATAATTAAAATTAATTTAATTTTTTAATTTTTAATAATGAAGTAAAAAATATATATCTTTTGATAGTCATGATAACTATCTCGCTGCCAGAGTTAAACTGGCTTTTTAAATAGGGGTTTGAAATCACTTTTAAGCAAGCATTGGATTTCTGAAGGAACTCGAATAAAGATAATAATCATATTAATTCATTTTTTATATTGAAATAGTATTATTAGTTTTTTTTAATATAAAGAACTCTCTGCAATAAATTTGCCATTCTTCTGGTAAGTTTATTAGTATTAGTACTTTCAATAAAACAATTATTGAATTTACATTTGATTAAGTTTCATTTCTTTTATTAACATATCTCTATTACCATAGCTAACATAGGCATAAAATACATATAGATGGAAGATTTGTGTAAATTGTATTTTCATCAATGGCAAAGTTTATGTTATATTTTATACATAAAGGAAAAAGATATGTTTTTTTATAACAGGAATTGGTAATTTATATAAATATGCAATCATTCACATCTACAAAATAAATATTTTTTATCTTTTACCATTAAATCATTGTAATTTATATTTCATTATCAAATACTAACATTTTAATCGTCACAATAAACTTGAACAAGAATAAAATGGGGAAAGCCTTAGTTCAGTTTAAAAGAAATCAAATTGACAGAAGAGGAATCAGAGAGTGAATGCCACTAGTAGAATGATGTCAAATCGGAGATCGTAATTGGCTACTCAATATACAATAGATAGATAGATTATTGTAACATGCTGATTGTGTCAATTTATGGCGTCATTCGGTATTTGGTATTTGATAATTAATCAGGTTATTTTGGCAGCAATTTCAAAGTTTAATCGAATATCTTTTGGTTTACTAATTGATCTTAATTGATTGAAACATTCACATTTGATTCTTTCAATCGATATGCTATAATGAATATCTGGTTGAACTTTATTTAATTAATCAGACATCATTCATATGGCTATTTAAAATCAGCCAGCATTCTGACTAGTATTAACCGTGAGTTATATGTGCATCTAATTGCTTTTTATTTTATTTTAAATTTATAATGAATGTGAATTGATTTATTTTCAAATAATAACAACCAAATTTTGGAATTGATTCTTTTATAACAGAATTCTTTTGTTCTTTGAATGTTCTTTTAATTTCCCTTTAGATTGGTAACTTCTTTAGAATCCAATTGATTTTCTGCTAGATTTTATTATTTTTATTTAATAAACAGATAAATTTCATGAATATAAATTATAATCAGATTGCATTTCTGCTACAAATTTGTATTTTGATTATCAGAAGATCCAGTATATTTGTTGTTAAAAATGCATCATGATTTTTTTTGTTGGTTTTACCTGAGCTAACCATATTATTTGTAATTACTGTTGATCAACAGGTGTAAAAAACAATAAATTAATTGCATTTTATATACCTTTCCCGGCCTTTGCTTCTTTCTCTTGAACCATGTCAATTTTATATGAATCATTTGCAGATTTTTTTTTATATTTGTATTTTTTTTTAGCCATTTTATTCTAAAGTAATCAATAGAAAACAATTATTACAAACAAGTAAATTTATTTAAATAATTGCCAATATGATTGTAATAATTAATAATTAAAAGATCCAAAATGGATGATGGCAGATAGGGATGGGCAGATCAGTACTATATGTATATTGCATATAGTTCTAGAACTATATACCTATGTAAACATGATAAGTTGGTCACTCCAAAAAGTTTCGCCTCTTTTTTTTACTATGGTGCACCAACTCTTAACTTGATGATCACGTGACATGTTTCAATTTTCTTTATGCAGTGTAACATAATATTATTCAACAAAATTCAAGTATTTTAATATAAAAAGGACTATTCTTCTAAGAAATAAAGATAACTTGTATTTTTACAATAATCAAAGTACCTGTTTGTAGAAAATACATTTTTGTTTTATCTTTGAAAAATAATTCATACAATTGTACTATGGTGCAAATCACTTAGTCACTGAACTTTTTGTGCCATGATGCCAATTTTGAGAAAAAATATTCCAATCAAAAATGCAGTAAAAAAATTTAGTTGCGTGATTTTTGAAGATTGCAAACCAACTTAATTTTAATGTCAACATGATGCTAAAATAGATAAATTTTTGATCTTGCGTAGCATGACATGCATGATTGCATAATACATAAAAAAGCAATGTATTCTCAGTTGTAAAATTTCATTATTATTATTATCACGTGATATAGATTGGCCATAAAAAATTTAAAAATTTCAATTCTTCC